TCCCGTGTATGCGCTCCACGCGGGGCATCCGCGCAAAGCCACCCTGCGTCCACGGGGTCGCGTCCGAAACATGGGGACCGCGAGGCCTCGGATACGTATATCTCCCCAGCAATGGCAGAGGGGACCTCCACTAGCGGGGTCGCCACCTCCTCGATGAGGGCGCGCCCTTAGGGCTTCCGAAGCCCTCCCGAACATCCCAAAACGTTCAAAATCTTCCCGAATCGCATCGGCGGTTGATTCCGAAACCTCGATCCTCAGGAGCTGGCGAGCCTCCTAGAGGTGACCCCCTTGGCATTGGTTGATACACGTTTTCGGCGACACGCCCAACGGAGAAGGCAGAAGGAGCGGGCCTTCTCAGAAGGCTCATACAGCCTGGGGCCTTCCAAAAAGCTTTCCAGGCCAGATGCCGTACAGGATTTCTCTTAGGAGGCCAGAGGGCATTGAGAAACTCCGCCGCCTTCTGAGAACGCCCGCCCCCACGTCTCTTTCTCCCCTCGCAAGGGAACGAACAAAAGCATAACCACAAAATGTCAGTGCTCCGCGCGGATTTCTTGGATCTGCGCTGGACCCTAAGCCCTGGCGCGCAGAGCGCGCCAGGGAGGCGCCCGAGGCGCCGCCGGGGGGCCTCAGAAAGATCCAAGAAATCCGCTCGGACCGTCGAAAGCTTCTGTTTCCAAAGTTTTTCCTTTTTCGACCTCGGCGCGCAGCTGGCGTTTCGGGGGCGTCCAAGAGGGAGCGTCCCAGAGGGGGGTCGCAAATCATGGCCCCGTGCACGTGCGCAGCCCAGGGAGAGCCAGGAGACGTATCCAAATGAGGCGGCGCCATGAAATACTGGGGAAGACACGATGGCCCTGGCCATGAGATCGACCCCCCGCCTTGTCGGGGGCGAAAGCCTGGCATTCGCGGCCTGCGGCGTGCGGCGCCGGGAGCAGCGGAGGCGGCGCCGGCGCCCCCACGGCGCTGCGCCCGCTCGGGGCGCCTCCAAGAAGGCCGCCACAGCCGCACCCGCGCGCGAGCCGTGCTCGGGCACCGCCGCCCCGCACGATCGGCGCGGCAGGCAGCGAGTGCGGAACGCCGCATCGCCGCGCTGGCCCCGAGCTGGCCCAGCATGCAGGTGGCCCTGTCTCGCGAAGGCGCTCCGCGTGCGAGAATCGTGTCACCGATCCTGTCCCCACGAGCGTGGCCTGGGCCCAACTGGCCGATTCGCCCCCCTCTAGGTTTAAGATGAGGGTATAGGCTGTTCCATTCGAGTTTCGAGGGATCCCCAACTGGGGTGGTGGCATGGAACGGGATGGGGAAAGGGATCGGTCGAATGGTACTGAACGTGAGATACTTCTCAACTGCCGCCGCCGCGGCGCTCCACTCTCTGAAGCCGGAGTTTGTGCAGATCCACCGCCTGGAGAGCCGATGTTTCGCGGCCGCCGGCAAGCAGGGGATCGAGCAGTTCAGCTGGACGTGTCCTTCCTTGGGCAACTTCCACGACGAGGGCGCAGCTACTTCCCAGACCTCTCTCCAGGGGCACGTTTTGACCAGCACTTCGAAGGTCCAGCCGTGCCGACGAGGGCAGCCCAAGAGTCGGCCAAAAAGGCAAAAGCGAGCAAAGGTGGTGGATTGAGGCACCAAACTCCAGCATATGAGCGCGCCGCAAGCCGCCCTGCTACACGTTCTTTGGGCCTCTCGGGCAGGGTCGTGCGCGCTGTTGGGCTCCTTGCCACGCCTGTGAGGGGCAACGAAAAGGGGAACGGGCTCGCCGAGGAAACATCGACCTGGAATCGGCGATTGACCTCCAATAGATCGGCGATTAGCCCCCGATAGCAAGCCCCAACGCTGCTGAACGGGATGGGCTATCATAGGGTCCCCATCGACGATTCATGGGCGATTGGGGGTCGATGCGTCCCCCCTGAGCCTACGGTCGGGAGCTTTTGCTTAGCGTGTCGCGGCGGCGGCCCCTGGCGACACGCTATGCCGCAAGCTGATACTGGCTTAGCGCGTCGCTCCGCACCGCGGGGCGGGAAGCTGGAGACAGCTCGGAACGCTGACGCCTCGGGACCGGGCCGTGGATAGCCTTTCGCGCCAAAGCGTGGTGAGCCAGGACTGGCGGCGCGACATTCTAGGCCAAAGTTCCTGACCGCATGATAACGTTTGCGATATGTTTAGCGATAGCGGCCGTTACTGGCCCTGGCCGCCCCCCCCCGCTCCCCCCAGGTAACGCAACGATTCGTACTGACCTCCGAAATGTCTTTGGGTATTCCTAGGTTTGCCCAGACGGCGCCGGCGCGAAACGTGGCGTTACCGGCCCCCACCTCCCCCCTCTGGGCAACGCCCATTCTCGCCTGGAGAGACATGAGAACAAGGGGAAAAAACGTTTCCCCCCCCCCTCCCCCGTCGCCTCTGAACCTTGCCGCACGTGTCCGCTCGAAAGGCACCCAAGCGTCGCCCGCGAGGCTGCGGCCCGCTCCTCGCAGGGCCACGGCTCCACCGGCGGGGTTCGGCCATGGCCTCACTCCTGCGGGGAGCGGGGGGCTGCCGTTCCCTCTCGCCCCCTCCTCTCTCCCTCGCCCACTTGTCTCGGCCCGAATTCCAGCAGGAACAGACCGCAGCCTGGGCGCGAAACCTTGCGCGCCTTCCAACCCGGCGAGACCGCGACCGGGGCCTTCACCCAGGAACTGATTCGCGTCATTCCCCCCAAAACCCTCCACCGCAACGGCCTGCGCCGCCGCCCCGGTCATCGCACCGCGCGCGGCGACCTCGTCACGGCACACTTCCTCAGCTGCGAGACGGGCAAGACTCCGGAGGGAGGCGACCAGCTTGAATGCAGCGCGCCACCTCCGCGACAGCCACGTCCTGAGCCCAAAAGCTCACAATGTTTATCATGATGGTTACGTTTTCTGCGCTCGCACTATTGATGGGCGTGTTCTCCCTGAGACACCTCGCGCCCCCCCCGCTCCATGGGGCGCTCCTCAAAGTCTCCGAGACGACGTCCAGCGTCTCAGGGGTGAGCTGCACGCGCCGCGCGCCCTCGCTCATCCCCCGAGCCGCCGGGCCGCTACGGCGGCCAGCCGGGCCCCGAAGATCAACGGCAGCAACCTCGCGTGCCAGATCCTCCGCGCCGCGCTGCTTCTCCACGGCGCCCTCGACGCGACCTGCGCCTACATCATGGGCGTTGTCCTCGCCGTCGTCGCCCTCGCGCGCGCCCTCGCCCGCGCGCTGGGCCGCCGTGCCGCGACAGCGGCTGGCTGGGCCCTGGCGATCCTGAGCTGCAATCAACTGCGCGCGGTCTTCCGCGACGGTTTCCCCAACGCGGTGGGTGCGTCGGGGCGCTTTTCGGCATCGCCCCCGGGCGTCTGCCGCCTGGCCGCCACCGTCGGCAGGCACTGCGTCGCGACGCACTGCGGCATCGCCGAGGGCGTCTGCCGCCTCCCAGCCTCCGCCAGCAGAGGCCCCCAGGCTCCGCAACCGATCGCAGGCCGCGGCCCGCACACCGCTCGCGCGCCGCGCGCTCGCCGGCCGCGGCTCGGCGCCAGCGAGCGCCGCCGCCGACTCTCCACCGATTGTGATCCACGCACTCACTCTGCGCGCGCCACCCGGGCCACGACCCCGCCGTCGTCGCCCACGCCCGCGCCACAAAACTACCCGGGCCCCGCCCCCCGCCGCGGGGCGCGCGCGCCAAGACGCGCCGTGGACCGCCCTCCCGGGGCGACAATGTCCCTGCGACCCCTGCCGACCCGATCCCCGCGATCCAACTCGGCGCGGAGGTCGCGGCCCAGGGTCAGGGGCGCAACCGCACGAACGGTCTCCGCGGCGTCGTCCGAGACCGCTCCGGCGAAGCCGACAAATGCTGGATCGCCTCGCTAACCGACGGGCGCTTCCTCGACTCGTGCTGAAATACCCGCGCAGCCTTTGAGACGAGCTGCGGAGCTCTCATCGGCAACCGCTGTCGCGGCCACATCAGCTGTGCCAAACCAGCTCGCCGCTGTGATCTCGGCTCCCGGTTGTGCCAGCACTGTTTCTTATGTAGTGGGACGGCGGGTGGGAATGGACATGCCATACAGGTATCGCTCGAGCTGACTAAGTGGACTCCTACTCCTACTCCTATCCTACTCCTAGTCCTACTCATATTCATACGTATTATCCTCCTCCTCTTCCTCCCCCTCTCTCACCCTCCTCATTAGCATCATCAACATCATCAACAACATTGTCACCAACACCATCATCGCAGCATCAGCATCATCCCCACTATTCCCGCGACCAGCACCATCATCATCATCATCATCATCATCATCATCATCAACAACAACAGCATCATCAGCAGCATCATGATGATAATCATCAGCTTAACCAGCCGCAAACGCATCACCATCATCATCATCATCAACATCATCATCACCATCGTCATCATCAGCATCAGCATCATGCCATCATCATCATCATCATCATCATCATCACCACCACCACCATCCTCATCAGCATCGGCATCATCAGCATCATTATGATCATCATAATCATCATCGTCAGCACCTTTGTTCTCATCACCAGAAACATCATCACCCTGACCAATAAGCATCAGCATCAGCATCATCAAGATCACCATCATCATCAGTATCATTTGTGTGATCACCATCAGCAGCATCATCAAAAGCAACATCATCAGCATCATCATGTCCACCATCAACATCAGCAAAATCATCAGAATCATCAGCACCATCATCCTCATCAGCGTCGTCAGCATCATCATCACCATCGTCGTCATCATCATCACCATCAGCATCGCCAATATCAGCACCATCAACAACATTATGGCCATTTGCAGCATAATCAGCAGAATCAATTCCTTCACTCCGTTTTGCCTTCCTGCCTTCCATCCATACATCAATAATTCCTCCCTTCCCTCATTCCATCCATCCATACTCCTCCTCATCCTCCTCCTCCTCCGCTTTCCCCGACTCCTCCTCCTCCTCCTCCTCCTCCTCCTCCTCCTCCTCCTCCTCCTCCTCCCTCCT